GGATCATTTTTTAGTATCTAGACCAATACAATACACACTGCCAAGTTGTTGAATACATTTCAGAGTACTTGGTGTCGTTGATGTTAATATGGATAAACATATCATGTACAGTATATATACACACACGCAAATACAGACACGCACATTTTTATTCTGCGTGTGATGTGTCGATATCACATAGCAGCCAAATAAATCATTCCACTTCTGTAGCTGGGTTCATTCATCAAGTGTAGCACAGAGATCGTAGGTCAGAATAAGATAAATGGCCTTCTGTGGTACCCTGGCCTGCCATTGGTCAAGAACAAATAGCGCGCACACACACACTCACAGCGTTTACCTTGACACACTTTTCAGGAACAGAAGTTTGAGTTTTGAGACCACAACTTTGCAAATCAACATGTGTGCAAACAGAGAGGGAGAGAGAAAAAAAAATCTCCCCCCGTTTATTACTTCACTGCACAAATTGAATCCTGTAATGAAAATGATCGTTTCTCGAAGACCACAAATTAATTGTCTTGGTAGGTGGGAAGCATCGAAGCATAGGCGAAGTTTGACTTTGACAATTGTTCGCTTTGTCCCTCACATTAGAAATCGCGGGTGCATGTAATTTACTTGTTTTTAATCGTTATTGTAAACTATAGAAAATACATTAATAAAGATATCAAACTTCTTTTGAAGCTTTCGTGACTGCAGGAATCACGATTTGCTTCTTTCGGTAAAGTCACGTAGAAAGAAAATAAATGAAATAATAGAATACAACGTTTCGATTGCAACACAAGCAACCGTCATCAGGTATAACAACATTTTAGAGAGAGACAAAACACAGACACGAGACACAGACACGGAGACACACATACATTCAGAGTACTTGGTGTCGTTGATGTTAATATGAATAACATATGTACAGTATATACAACACAGAGACATCCAACATAGACACACAGAGACCCAATGCTCTGTGTCGAGGCCTTAAATAGAGAGAGAGGGGGGACAGAGAGAGAGAGGTGGGTTCTGCTGGAGCAGAGAAATTAGCATGTCAATGAAAGACCCTCAAGACTGGTACATTTTAGAGAGAGTTGTGTGGAAATCCACCCCGAAGCGACCAGGGGAGAGAAAGAGCGAATGGACCTGCTTGTGTGTCTGTCTGTGTGTCTTCGTGTTTATGTTTTGTCTCGCTCTCAAATTTAGTTCAACCTGATGACGGTTGCTTGTGTTGAAATTGAACGTTGTATTCTATTATTTAATTTATTTTCTTTTTACTTGACTTTACCGAAAGAACCAAAGGTAATTCCTGCAGTCACGAAAGCTTCAAATCAAGTTTTGAACCACCTCTACGGGGAGGATGTAAGTTTGTTTTCCTCTCTCTCTCTGTGTCTCTGTTTGTCAAATTTCATACTTAACTTCAATTTTGCAATCTTGGAGATGTTAAACAACCAGGCTATGTGTTAACTGTGTGTTAGCCGACTCTCTGTGTTGCATTAATTACATTTCCCAAAAATTGGCAACATTTTGTATTCTCAAACTGACTATTTCTCTCTCTAAAATGTACCAGGCTCTCATAGGTCTATTTGCTCTTTCTCTCCCTGGGTCGCTTCGGGGTGGATTTCTACACAACCATCTCTAAAATGTACCAGTCTTGTTGGGTCTTTCATTGACATGCAAAATTTTCTGCTCCAGCAGACCCACCTCTTTCTCTGCCCCCCCTCTCTCTCTCTATTTAAGGCCTCGACACAGAGGCATTGGGTCTCTATGTGTCTATGTCGTGTGTCTCTCTCTGCGTTGTCTCATCTCGCTTGTGTGTCGGTCTGTGTGTCTCCGTGTCTGTGTTTTGTCATTCTCTCAAATTTAGTTCTACCTGATGACGGTTGCTTGTATTGCAATCGGAACGTCGTATTCTAATATTTAATTAATTTTTTTCTCCGTGATTTTACCGAGAGAACCAAAGAGTAAAGGTATCAAGTTTGGACGAGGGGTTGTCCCTCCCCCTCGCGTGCCACCCCACCCCTCCCCTCGCGAACTCTGCCCATGCGTCAAAGCAGCAAAGGCTTCGATAGAATACACAGGGGGACGCAATGTGGAAATGTGCAGAATTACAGTTTCGTGAAATGAAACACATTCCCCAAGAACTCTTACGTGAAACGGACCACGTGTCTGTGGCCTCCCTTTTACAATTGTAGGGATTATTACGGGAGAAACGGCGGACAACAAACACAGGGGTGTCGGCACTCACATACACGGGTGGTCACACCGACGTCCGCATCCGTTATTGCCCACGCCCCCAGCCCTCGGAGGTGATCCCTATAAAAGGTGGAGACCCAAAGAGCTCGAGGCAGTTCGACACGAAGCTGACCAGTGAAGATCCAAGACTCGGAGATTAGGCCCTGGGACTCCCCGGTCTCGCCGTCCTTATAAGGGCCGAGCCGGGTAAGCCAGCGGCGCGGCCCAAAAGCTTCCAGACCGCTGCCCTTATCAGGGCAAGGCTGGTTAGCTGGTGCCGAGATCTGTGCTTGCCAGGGCCAGATCAGTCAGCCTCCCGTAGCCCAGTAGAGGAGGACTGGGAACAGGACAGAGGGCTTAGTACTAGGGTGGGTTTCCCATAGTACGGGTGAAAGGGGCCGATACCCCTTCAACTATTGTGCCTGTCCCTGGGTTAATAAACAGAGTGTGCCTCAACTTCGACATCGTCTCCTCGAACTTACTACACAATGTTGCAATAGGAATCACCAGGCAACACGAGGATGCAGTGTCCCTCCCCGTGTTGCTGCTCCTGCCAGTGGCTTCTTAAAGCCTCGGAACACACGAGGGGACAACAACAGCTACCGTTTACACGTGTCAGTTTTTTTGTTTTATCACACACATCATATCAATCAGATTATGTAGAGGAAAAACAACATATCACAATCCAAGGTTTAAATGAAAATATTGGGATATAATAATGATATAAGTTTCCAAAACATTTTAACGTTATTATTTTATACAGTTGGACTCATAAAAGCCAGAAGAGTTGTTGTTCTGACTCCAAACGATGAGAAACCTGTTCAGTGAAATATAGTTTGATAACGTTAAAGCAGAAAGAAACTGTGCTTGTGTAGGGGTGTTAAAGAGAAGGCCCGTTATGCATGGCAGCCTATGGAAAACAAACACAGTGGGCGGGGCTACGTAAGTGCACGAGCAAGTGCCCTCTACGACGTCCGAGCCAGACACCCTGGGGGGGGCTGGTTCGAACGTTATGATCCCCCGGGGCCCCACCCCTCAGGGAGGGGTTGGGTATAAAAGGGGATGTTGAAAGGGCTCAAGAGTTATGTTTAAGCTAAGGGAAGAAGATTGAAGACGTCTTAGATAGAGCCCTGGACTCCCCTGGTTCGATGTCCTTTTCAGGGCCGGACAGGATTGAGCCAGCGGCGTGGTCCCGAAAGCCAGAGCCGGTGCTCTTGTAAGAGCTGGTCTGGAACTCCGGGTACCGGGCCCGACTTACCAGTGTCGGGCCAGTTAGCCTCCCCTAGCCCATTAGTGGAGGATTCGGGGCTAGGACAGAGTTAGCTAGGGATGTATCCCGAGTTATACGGGTGAGGGGGCCGATACCCCCTCGAGTGTGTATATGCCCACTGTCATATTGTGAATAAACATACGTGTGCCTCAACCTCGGCGTCAAGCGTCCTCACCGGTACTTCAACTGGTGTCAGAAGTAATTCGAACATGGACACGCGGAAAACAGCGCGGGCCAAAGTACCGCAGGAGGAAGACACTGCCGAGATCGTCGAGCCCGAGACGGCTCCACAAGACAAGGTGCAGCCGGGGCCTGACGCCTCCTTACCGGGGCATCGAAATGAAGAGGGGCCGCAGCCAGACGCGTTACGGCTGGCTCACGGGAGGCTGGCGGAGCTGCTGTATGCCGCTGCCGCCACGCTGGAGACCATCACGCGACTAGGGGCCGGTGATCCAACACGGGGCGAGGCGAGCCAACGACCAGGGCGCCTTCCCGCCATTTCGGAGCAGTCCGAATTTGAAATTCCCGCCATCGACGCTACAGCTGTTCGGGGCGTGGCCAGCCTAGACATCCACTCCGACATCGCCGTCGCTGAAGCTGCAACGTCATCACAACCGCGACAGGCGATCCCATCGGCCGCTCGCACCGACGCACAGCCGAGTGGTGGTGACATCAGCCTGCGGGAGTCTACAACGACCGCTGCGCTTCATCAGAGACTGCCCCCGCTGAAGGAGTTCATCGGCGCGGAGGGGGACTGGGCCGGTTTTCGCCGACGTTTCCTCGCCCATCAGGAGATGGCGAAATGGTCCGATGAGGAGGCTCTCTGCGCGCTGTCGGCGCTCCTCGACGGCGACGCGCTCGCCGCCCTCACATCGGCGCCGAGAGAGAAGCGGTCTACGTTACCGATGGCACTACAGCTGCTGGGCGGGGTCTATGGACCATCGGCTGAATGCCGACAGCAATTTTACGACCGCAAGCGGGGTGAGAAGGAGTCGCCCCTAGCATATCGGACGAGCCTCCTGGCGATGGCTAAGTCGGCCTTCCCTCGTATGGACGACGACGGCGTGGATGCTATGATCACGGAGAAAATCCTCCTCCTGGCTGACGACCTTGACATCGCTGTGGTCGCGCAGGAGGACGCGGAGATGACATCGCTCCAGGCGGCAAGGCTCCTCCACGCCAACCTCCTGTCGCTCCGGCGGAAAGCCAGCAGGGCATCGGCGGGGCGTGCGGTGGCTGCAGCCACCCTTCCGACGGAGGAGCTCTACGCCGTCGACCACCGACGGCAACAGGCGACGGGAGCACGGTCGGGCCGGGACGGGTCGGGCCGTTCCGACCATCCGTCACCTCCGACGGCGCTCCCGCGGTGTTTTAACTGCGGCGTCCGGGGCCACGTCGCCTCGGGGTGCCGCTCTCCTCGTCAGCGCGGGACGACACCTCAACGGGACGACGGGCCTCATCACAAGCTCCACCATCATAACCCGGCGAGTCGCGGCACCCCACACGTTTGGCCCACACACACGCCCGTCACGCACTCAAACACCGCAACGAGAGGGGGGCCGATATCGCGCACCATCGCACCATCACGCACCACTCCGTGTACTCATATCGAACCTGGCCAGTGGTCCGTGCTGGCCGATCGTGTGATAGCCGCATCGTCGGGGTCGTCGGCCGTTGTGGGGCACATCGACGGGGTTGAAGTGCGCATCCTGGTCGATACGGGAGCATCGGCGACCATTATTTCGGAGTTAATTTACAATATTCTCCCTGTCCGGAGCCGTCCTTTGATGCCTGTTAACGTACCATTCTATGCGGCTAATGGGGGCTCACTTGGCATCATCGGACAAATTCGTGCCCAAATTTGTATTGGGGAAATTAAATTGTCTGGGCCGATTTTTGTTTCCTCCTCGCTGGCGGTTTCGTGCCTGCTGGGGACGGACTTCCTGGCCAAAATGCCGATTAGGATATTTATCGACCAGGGATGTATTGAGCTCCCGTCGGGCAGACGTTTGGCGTTTCTGCCATCGCCAGTTACGACTCGGACGGCGTTCGCGAC